CACAAGTCCCTTCACAAGTCCAGTCACAAGTCCAGCCACAAGTCCCTTCACAAGTCCAGTCACAAGTCCCTTCACAAGTCCAGTCACAAGTCCCTTCACAAGTCCAGCCACAAGTCCCTTCACAAGTCCCTTTCACAAGGCCAGTCATAAACAACATTGAACAATGACAAAAAATACTTTTGTCACAGCTCATTTGAATAGCTTGTGAATTGACTTAAGACTAAATGACTTATGATGGACTTATGGATTTGAATACAACACTAATGACGGTGCGTAGAATCAGTGCCTGTGTATGATCAATTTTTTTTAGTTTAACCCTAATTCCCAAGAATGTGTGTCAAATCCTATTGAAATGAGAGGGTTTCGCTTTGTTAGGATCCCCAAGCACATATCTGAGAACAGGAAGAAAGAAAATGCAAGAAATTCCGCAACTACAAACAGAGATAAAGGCAAATATACCTTGATGAATCATCAGGAGTAGTGGGAATGGTTTCCCATGTGCACGTACAAGCAAGGGTGAGAGTGTTTGGTATTTCACTGTGAGTGTTACAATTCTGCTGTTTGTACATCTCACTCGTCATGGATTGTTAATTCTGTTTGCAGCTAACATGCAGTTCAACCCAGACAGCCCAGGTGACCAGTACACCCAGAAACTGACACTGAGGGTGAGAAACAAAGCCTCTTCGAAATTCACCAGGAGAGTTTGGGGGGGATTTTGTAGGATTGAGGAAGGTAGAGCCCTGCCGCTGTTACTGTACAGGGGACTTTATCCCTTTTCTGTAGGAAGGTTGAAGTACCTGTACATAGAATGTGCCATGTTTCCCGCACAGTGGTGAGTTTTGAGCCATTTATGATGATTCATCATATGACAGTGCGAATGGAGTCGATATAACTAACAAGTTATTTGACATGCTTTGTACTTGTAACAGTGTTGCTACCTTATTTTGCAATTCAAATGTTGGTCAACTTACAACTTATTTATTTCTTTGAATCTAATCACCCCTGGAATTACATCGACCCTTGTGGCCTTGTGTTTTAGCTCTACTCGGAAAATCCCACTTGAACATTCTGATTGGCACTTTTCCAGATTAAACGAGAGCCACATACCATGTTGAAGGAGTATGTCAGAGAAAGTTGTGTTGTGTTGCAATTTGCTTTCAGATCATCAGTGGTCAGCAGCTGCCAAAACCATCCCGTGAGGTCATTGACCCCTACGTCAAGGTCACCGTCCTGGATGTGAATGCTGAGTACGAGGCCAAGACTAACACGGTGGAAGACAACGGTTAGTCTCAGAAAGGACATCCACTGCTTATCAAAGGAGCCTCAGATCAGAAGCTTTTTGATAAACAGAGAAAGCATGATAACACGGGTGTCCTATCTTAAACTCTGAGCACTTTGCTATCATGCAGCTACTGTCTATCCCAAACTTTGAAGAGTTTTCAAAGTTTTCAGAAACCTGAATTGAAAGTTACCCAAAGACTCGAGTAACCGAACTATAATATTAGAGTCATATTATTTACTTTTTAAAGTTAATTCAGTTCCAATCAGTTCAATACTATGCAACACGATTCTGTTCAGTTCCGTTCAGTGACGAGATAACTATAAGGGTAAAGAAACAAGTGTGGAGGTCACTTCATTAAAAGCAAAAGTTTGCTGAGGCCCCTCGGTGAAATGATTATAATTGTACTTGTCTAAAGTTGATAGAGTTGCAAAACAAAGGCCATGTTCAAATATCTTGGCTGCGGCTTGATATACATGACTCTATTGGAAATGGCTTCCACCCAGAAATGTAAATATTATTTAGCAGTGAACCAGTTAATCGCAATACAACTTACCGAGCATTTTGGCCGGTAACCTTTTTTTTTTTTTTTGATAAAGGTATGTTTCTGTGTTTAGTGATTTCTGTTGGGTCAACTTTATATCCAGTAAACTGTGATCAGATTTTAGGATGCTCACTTTTTCTTCGCCAGGCTTCAACCCGGAGTGGAACCACACCATGGAGTTTGAAATCAAGTCGCCTGAACTCGCCATGCTGCGATTTGTTGTCTATGATCAGGACCGACTGAAGGATGATTTCATTGCCCAGTACACCATTCCAATCGCTAGCATCCAACTAGGTGAGAACACACCTACAACCCTCTCTTGATACCGTTATTGATTTGCAAATGTGCATAGCAGTTACTTGTTCCAATTTCCATTCTCTCTTCTGTGTTTGTTTCCTTTTTATGAACTCTCTTTATTTGGTGTAGTTTGCTGTTGCTGAAACCAATAACTACACCAGAGGTACACTGACTGCCACATTCTGGTCTTTTGGACTTGCCCAGTGGTACTGCAGTAACATGGCCTTGCCAACATCAGCCGACACTTATCACTAATGTGTGAAAATAAGGACAGTCTAAGTGTCCCCCCCCACAAAACAACTCAGTGTGAGCAACGGAAGAGTTGGTACTTGTTATAGGGCTGATTTTAGAATAATTGATTGGTGCATTTTCATAGGGTGCCAGTGTATATATTCCAAGATGTATAACTTTCTCTTGGCTATGTTTTTTTGATGTAATGGTTGAGCAGTTCAATATATCCGTTTCTTTCTCTCTTTTGGTTTTCTATTTCTTTTTGGGTCGTCTAGGTTATCACCATGTCCCTCTGTTCTCCCAGGAGGGAGATGATCTGGATCCGGCTACGCTGTTTGTCCACACACTCATGTCATCGCCGTAGACTGACCCTGGTTAGCGGAACAAGTTAGCAGGAAGTGAACTGGGGTTACAGGGTTGAACTTAGACATCTATTACAGGTTTTTATCCCGAGTATAATCATAAGCAATTTGGTCACACTGCCCAGACTGGCGATCTGTGTTTCAGAAGGTTTTTTGTTTTTGTTTTTGTTTATTTATTTATTTATTTTTTTGTTAATCTGAACAATACCACGATTGGAATGTCACAACAGAAGTGATGTCCACTTTTACGGTGCACAGACTGATGAAGCATGTATGCGCAAACACTCTTGTTATCCGTGTTCAGTTTTAGGCATCTGCATACAAGCATTAGAAATTCCAAGAGAAAGATTGAACAAACACGTAACTGGTCTCACTTTTGCTTTTGTGAATGGGAAATGTCCAGTTTAGGTGTTGCTTAGATCTTTGTGGTTTGTCATTGTTTTTAACCAGTTGCAACTGGTAGTCTAAAATTTAACCAGGGTTAAAGTATTGTTTCAGGAAGTCTTATGTGTTTCTGGTTGTCCCTCTGTTGAAATGACCTGAAGAAGTTTTAACACTTTTTATAAAACTAGTTTTAGGACTTTTTGGTGGTTTTTAGTGAAGCATTGTGAAAAGAGCAATTACTGCAAAACACAACAAATGGCAGAGGCCAGTCTGGTAATGGAATAAAGTTAGGGTTTTTGGTGTTTTTATAATAAACAAATGATATTTGTATTAATCGAAACGAAACATTGAAGATTTTTAAAGGAGTAAGGTTCCTATGACAATTTGTAATCGTTATATTTTCTTCTCTTTTTAAGAACAAAAATCAGGTGAAATACGGAACTACTTGTAAGCAGCATTTTTTTATTACACATTCCATCACAATAGAAAATGTTATTTTCTTAAGAAATAATTGTTGAGTGTCCTGTTACATGTTTTTACACGTACATGCATGTGGGCATGATGATTTGAAAAGTATGTTAGCCTGTGTCCAAAAGACTGGGCCGTGGCCCAAGTAGCACGTTGCCTCTATGGGTAATGGATGTAGCTACTAGGCAATGGCTTTCAGTGGAGTTTGCATTACTGTTTGCCTTAGCCAAATAATTGGCACATGGTCCTTGGCCATTTTCCAATACTCAACTTCGGCTCCGTCTCAGGCTTCACCTGTTTTTTAACTAGCTGATTTTGAAGCTGTAAGCACAGTAATTAGTCTAATAGTGCCACAAAACATCAAATAAGATGCAAGAGAGCCAGAAGTTACAGTAATCCAATGTGATTTAAACGCTTCAGGCCGCAATCGGGGATTGGTTTTGGGAACAAAGCCTGAGACGGAGCCCAAGTCGAGTATTGGAAAAGGGCCATAGACTCTGCTAAGTTTGTGAACAAATCTACTGTAGTCTGGTGATACAAAAACATGTATTGGATTCATTTCCATCATTGATCTGTGAAGTTAAGGTACCAGACACCACGGAGGATAATTTCAGTTGCATTCCCACGTATTGTAATGGTAAAGACGTGCTTCTTATCTTCATTCGTTTCAGAGATCTGAAGATGCTTTTGACAGCAAGTAAAGTTACTTTCTTTTTATGATTCATCAAGCATTTGATATTCCACAGTAGGCAGTAAATAACAATCACTTACTGTACTTGCAATTGTGATGTGATGATCTCTCTTTCCCATGAGGCTCTGTAAGTTTATTCCAGTTTTTTACCCATTTTTGTACCTTGCAACTTTTTAATTGTCTTTTTGAACTCTTTCCACTTTGTTCTGCAACTCTTATCCATCATCCAATCATGTCTTAAACATAAGCTTTCCCTTTTTGTATATTTTGAGCATACTTCTAGAATGTAAATACTTACAGATGGTCACTGCTTTTGCAATCTGTGTAGAAATTTCAGGACTTTCCAAACTCAATGGAGAATATGGCAGATCTCCTTAAACATTGCATTTTTAAATGAGTGTTATGTAAACTAATGCCTCCTGTGGTTTTCCCACCAAATTTTAATCAAAACAAAAAGGAAGAGCTTATTGAAGAAACATGGCTGACTGGAACTAAACACGTTTCCCTTTTTAAGGGATCTTATCCCTCCTATGTTTTATTTGTGAATGAATTGTCCCAATATCTGTTATAATTCTGTGAAAAAAAAATTGTGAAGTATTCAAGATTGGATCTCTGATGACAAAAACAGAGAAATGCAAGTAAATCTACAAATTATTTTTGAATACTGAGAATTTTAAAAAGAGTTAAATAAAAAAGACCTTTTAATATTGTACTTATATAGCAGTAGAAACATTTAAAGTAGGGTGAGTTTGTTAGAATTAGCTTCGTCCTAGAATTTTGAGTCCGGTGGCAATAATACAATTGTGCTGTCTTAATGTGATGTATTTGAAAGCTTTTGCTTACTTTGTAAATTGGGGCTATATAATCATGTCTTAAAGAAGATTGGCTTACAGAGGTTGGATTACGGTGAAAGTGGTTGTACTCAAAACACCAGGCATGTCTACATGCCCAGTATTTTGAGTACAGGGTATATTGAGACCTTGAGGTTTGTAGCTGAAACCGTCTATTTTAGTGGTGGTGTAGACTTGCTGAACAAAGATGTAACTAAACACACGCCCTCGGGGTAGACAGGGCACTGACTAAACATGGAAAGTCTTGCTTCAAAGTCAGAAAAGGTGTCCTCCTTACCCTTTCCCAAGTGGGGGGGGGGGTAGAAACTTGATTACTTTGCATGGGGTTTCATGACCTGTTGAAGTGGAAAGACTGTGCCATTGAGTTTCTGCTCAGTGGAGGATATTAGAGGACTCTTGAGCATCTCTTGAAATACTTTTCTGGAAATTTGGAATAGTGAAAAGAAACAAGCAACCATTGGCTAATTTTTTTTATTCGTAAGTGCCGAACTTTAAATTGGTTATTAGTATATTCTGTGCAAGAGTGGTGGAATTTTTTTTTGCATGAGCTTATATAACTATCAAAGTATTAATATGTATATGATATTAATGTATGGAATTGAAATGAACAAATTATTATGAACAAATCAAAAGAATGTCACACAACTTGTTTGAAATTTGGAAGATGATACCGCACTCACTTATGAAATTTTTACTCCGTCATGGAAGCCTTCGGAGCAATATTGGCATTATTTGAAAAATATTGTTTTGGGTTTTTTTGTTATATTTTCTTCCCCGCTCAGGGAATTCAGACCTCAATGTACATGTATTTAACTACCGATTGGGTCATTTTATGCTCGTGGACTCCTCAAGATACACGAAAAAAAAAAAACCTTCCAGTTCTTTGTTATCCAGTATTCTGTGCCTTAAAATAAACTAAAAGTTTAGAGTGCAACCGTATCAACCAAAAACAGGAAGGGGATTTCTGTAAACAATTTGCTCAGTTTGACATAAAATGGCCCACTTTCTGAACTTGGTAACAAGTGTACCAACCAAGGGCATGGGGAATCCGGTCCGTAAGTGTAACGTCACCTCAGTTTAAACCAAGCCCACTGCACATGCACTGCATATAGAGTTACATGCATTGATCGACGTTAACGTGGAACCATGGAACCGGAAATTAATGCGAAACTTTGGTGATGGTCCAATGGAAGCCTGCACATTGTGGCGCGTCTGCCTTTGTGACAAAGTTACTTATGAACCGGATACAAAACAAGAGCATTGATATAAATGCTGCACCTCTTGCAGTATTTGATCCCACATTTGTGCCTTAATCTTCTAGCCTGGATGAAATCAACTTCCACATGGATTTTTAGTTGGAGACATTTGGATGTATTTCCGACTTATAAACTGCATGAATAAACAAAGTAAGTTTGCAATCATAATGAAATTAAGGTGTAATCCTCATTCTGTTTGTAGGTGTGTGTGTGTGTGTGTTTGAAATATTAAATGTTTTATCTTCAAGCAATTTTCAGGGAGGGTTTTTTGTGGGGGGGGGGCAATATCAGTAAATCAATCAGAGATTACCTTGAGATTGTATTACTGTCAGATATGAAAAAGCTGCATTGGGCCGATATTACTAAAATTAAAGGCCCTTTTTCCAAACTATTTTTCCCAACAAAACTGGCAATTTTGCTTTAAAAGAAATGAAACAAGGCATAGCCAGGAGATTGTGGTAACACCTGTACTTGACTTTATTGTAAACAAGGTTGGTACTATAAAGGGTAAATGATTATTTACATTATGTATTTTTGAAATATTTGCACAGCTGTTTCATCAGAATATTAAATTAAAGAGGACAAAAAACTTTGGCTTGCCCAAAGGAGGGGCAAAAAAAGATAGATGCATCGATGACAGAACTTGCAATGTCTGAAACATACAGAAGACATGCAATTTTCTTGTATTTTGGGAGTTTAAACATAAACTTGTAAATGTATGTAGATTGCGAGAGTGAGTGATGAGATTAAGAAAAATGACAAACTTTTCAAGAGGATAGAATACCAAAATCAAATACTGGTAGTTCATGTTAGAAACTACTCACTGCAATACAGGAATTGGGGGGAAATGGTCAACGTCTACACAGCAGAAACACAGTGATCATTACAACAGCCATTTTTCAAATCAGGAAACCTGTTGTCTAGATACAGCTGTCAGTAGAATGCTCTGGAAACTGATTTCAAACTGAGTTCCTCTAACTGTGAGAGAAACCCACCACACCTGTATTCATTATAAATCAGGATTTCAAATCCTTTAAAAATTATTGATGATCACTTACTTTAATAGCAATGCTACCTGCAAACCTGACACAGGGTGAACATGGAAATTTCAAGTTGGTGACATTCTCAGCTTCCTTAAGCTATCGTTAGAAAATGGTTTCTTCAATACAAATAACACAATGGATATTAAGACGGATGTCTTTTACTATGACCACAAACTTGGACCTGTTTAAAGTTTGCTTAAAATCTTGGCACTTTTATATCAAATTTAAATTATCTACCTGTGATTTGAATGTGTACTAAGCCCAATCTCGTGGCACTAATAAGCACATGATCTTACGCTAACAAAGGCTGAATATATTCTATGGAGTCAGTAAGCACGGCAAAGTGCATGATAACCTCAAAAGAAAAATGTGCTAAACTTAGTGATGTAACAATGGAAAGCTCCAAGTGTACCCATGTGATGTTTTGTTCCAAGCACAGCGACTGTGAAATGTTCACTATGAAATAGTCTTACCGTTAAGCAACTTTCTAGGGCCGAGTCAATTCGAATAATTCACCATTGGAATATTCGACCTTCAATTCGATGGAATATTTGGACCAACTGACAGATTGTTGAGGAACAAACCACATACAAAATCAGTAATAATAACGCCCACAATTGAACATTATGATCATAATAGCTTCTCATGTCTATGAGTATCACCAGCCAGATTTAGCTAGATTTAAGAGACAAATAATACTTCTTTTCCTGTTGAAAAGATATACGCCTATTAAATTTTTTAATGAATAATGTACTTTTTGAATCGTTGGAAGGTTTCTGTTACTTTTCATCCGAATCTCCTTGGAACAAGCCTCCACAGTGCAATTTTTCTCATTTAAAACAAAAGGACAATTTTCTCCTCATTTTCATGAATTTGCATTGGAATATTCAAATTCGAAAAATAATATTCAAATATTTGATAATCGATCGAATATTCGGATATTCGGCACAGCCTTACAAATTTCTGCACCATGGTTAGCAAAAATGCAGTAAGCAGTACTGTGGAATTGGGCCCTGTTGAAAACATGTGAAATAGTTCCTCAAATTTCAGAAATTCAACTAATAGAATACAGAATTCCTCACTTGAGCCACACAAGAATGCTTCTCATGTCTGTCTGTCTCTCTCTGTGTTCAAAATCAAAACATCTACTCAGAGTAAAGGCTGGTTCATACAATTTGCTGAGATCACCCTGTTGCAGACAAGTGAACTACAGTGTACAGATGTGAATTAACAATCCTCATACTACTAAAGATACACTCGGGATATAATTTGAAATCTGAACTAACTATTGTACTTGAGTCCAAGATTGTCCTAAATCAGTATCTCCACTACAAGTTTTGACGGAATGAAGAAAGTGTACAGATTGCCAGTTACATGCAATTGCAGTGCACCAAATGCTTACTGGAATATATCTACAATTGTTTGCATGAAGTGGTTTCTTTAGATGCAGCAATATATGTTTCTCAATGATAGTTGACATTACATTATAGCTGAATATGTCATACAATAATAGATTTTTTGTGGTAATATTGCTGAAGAGGATAAAAGTGAAAATTGTGCAAATTGAACAAGAAATTACGTCATGAGTTCACACTAGATGTCTTGAAAATGTCAAATATGTACAATGTTTGTAATAAACGATCTAAGTCAGCTCCAAGAAATTTTGGATATACTTATTTATTCGGCTAGTAGTATGGTTCTTGGCAAAGGCAGGATGGGATGTAATATATATACAGGAAGGATTGATGCATAGTTTCACAGTATATACATACATACATGTTGGGCGTGCTGTCACATTCTCTGATCTCACTAACAGTGCAGCGCTATGCGGTTTGCATGGTGTCGCCAATATTAAAAAGATAGGAATGCATGATGTCATTGTCAAATGAAACAAAGCGTTTCTCACCATCAGTATTTTACAGTGTCTAAGCACAACTTTTAGATTTGACTGTAAGATTGGACGTCAGACAGACGTCATGAGTCTACAGCCATTTTATTATCACCAAAGCTGTGGACTATGACAATTTGTGTGCTCCAGAAAGAGAACTGTATTTTTAATGTAATTTCAGCCGAGCATGCTGCTGGATAATGAAAAAAAATGCATCTTATATCACACTACTCACCGGCTTATCACTGGTAGAACTTACATATTTTTCCTTCTAGAAACTGAATTCTGTACTGCAGGCGGTAAAATCTAGCAAATAATGTTGTGGTATCTTCATAAAATCAACTCTTTGATTCAGAATAATTCAGAGGCATCATACACACCCAATTATTTCATTATTTAAAGAATTTCCTTCAATTTTGGTTTATGCCTTGTTTGGTACATAGTTTTGTGCATAATTTAAGACCTCTTACTTTCAGTCATTTGCAATGAGACTTGACAAAGTGGAACATGTGAGCACAATACCGCCAAATACCTTTCACATGGTTCAACAAAACCAAATTAACATTATTCTCTGGTACAACTGTATCAACATGTAGTGGCCAACTTATGTGCATGTTATAACATTACGTTTGCAAGAAACCAAAATTAACTTTTACAACACAAATCCTTGGGGAAAAAAAGAAGAATAGTGAACGACAGCAACAGTCGCTGCTTTATTTGGCTGATTACAACTCAAATCTGACTCATATGTGCTTAACAAAATTACAAAAATTTACCACGTCCACGTCACACTAAATACTAAGTTACTCACTAAAAAAAAATAATACAAACAAATCTAAGACTGTAGCTAAAAGCGCCTTGCAGTAGGGGACAACCCTAATATCGGACAACCACCAAAAAGCTGTATTATCCCATGCAAGATTCACACAAGACCAGCATGAATACATACAATATTGGTCATATGTACAGAAGAGCCTTTAGCTATTTACAAGAATACCCTGCAAATGTTGAAATTCATTTTTTGGAGATATAAAAATGCACAGAAACAGAATGACTTATGTTAATCATTAATCAAAGTCTGTACATAATCTATTTACAACAATTTAGGGAACAAAATTAAGTACACATTAGATAAATGATATTGGGTAAAGTGCATCTAATAGAAATAACTAAAATATTTGATGCACTGTAACCTAATTTATAATTATATACATAATGAAAGTAAAACAAATACTAGTCTAAAAAGAATGGTTTTTCTATTACTTTTGATTAAAACAAATCACTTCCTCAAAAATGATTTTTCATTCCACACCATTCATTATTTTTAATTTAGAACTGTTGATATTTTCGTGGTACATGATACTGCTATTTGAAGACACGTTTATATTGCAATTTTGAATTCTGTATATTTTACATCCTAACATTAGAACACTTTGGTATTTTTTACATATGATGATACGAAGAATTTTTTTCAAAATGTCAAACAAAAGTGCTATGTAAACTTAAAATTGCGTTTGGGAAATGATACACATAAGAATAGTTACTATCTTGGGTTTCATTGTGATATCATATAATGCAGGTTGAAATTGGTGTCTGTGACCTACACTATGGTATGGTGACTTTGTTCTTGAGCTATATAATTTATATCACAATTCTAAAACCTCCACCTCAAAAGCTCAGTCATCTAGTGGTTGTATTGCTGATCCAGTTCTTTAGTAATTCATTTTGAATATGCTAATTCATCCAGCAGTCCTTTTATTATCTGTCATTTTCGCGATCAATACTGGCTTTCTTTGGAACACTACATTGGGACATGTCAAAAATAGTCTGCATGGTAACAGATACCAAGACTGCAATTTTCACAGACACCTATACCAATGTTTATAAGTTGAAGAATGGAAAAAAGTTTTATAATTAATGGCCAGAAAATAATAATTAAATTTCCCATAAACATGCTATCATAAATATCAACAACTGTCATAAATCATTATGAATACGGCAATTGCATTTACACAAGCAGCCCTAACAAAGCAAAGGCTCCAAGAACTTGCATGCCTTCTATTATTGTAAATTTTAAAAATGCATCTAACGAGACAACAATTGCATTGACAGGACCCTTGTTACATTGGAAGACATCTCCAAGACTTTATCAGCATGAAATGCTTTTCTACAAAACTTGTCATGCATGCTTTGGCAACGGTATGAATTATCAAGGTGAATAAAGAAACTCAAACAATAAAAACTCTGAGTGAATGCTTCAGATAATAAACTTTTCAAGAGTGGATGAATAAACTTAAAAAGACTGACTTCTCCCGTTGGGACATCTGACTATTTCTGGTAAAAGGATTTGACATCAACTTTACATTACCCACCTTAAAGTGTGACATATATGTACAACATTGGTATAATTTTATTATTTAATGAAAGAGCATATCATTAACGTGTTGGTTGCACTGGTTATGCTATTGCAATGAGGAATTTTTTAGATTATGAGCAAATCTGAAGAACAGAATTAATAGTTATATCTGAATACAATTTTTGCTTCTGGCAATCTATATCATTTGATTGGATGACAACGTCTCTGTTGACTATAGATCTGAGCCAATCAGCGCCGTCTCTGGTATCTCCTTGTTCATGTTCAGGTCTTCAAAGTGTTTCAAACAGAAGATCCTGTCCCCAGCTAGGATATCAAAGTCTTGAGGTGGGTTGGTGATGACGTAGCGTTTGCTAGAGGATTTGCCTGCGATTATCAGGTTGCGATATATACCGAGGCAAAGAATTCCACTCTCCAAGGCATGAAGGAATAAGGAGCCATAGGCTGCGCCCTCCTAAACCATGAAAAGAACAAGTCCTAGACAGTTATCTTTGCTGGGAGAAACATTAAATAAGGTCTAGAATCTGGTGTATGACCATTTGAGAGCGAGCCACAAGGTTTCCTCAGATATTCTTGTCCTCAGCCAATCTGGAGACAATCAGAACCACACTCAGGTACAGTTGGCACCAGATTTGAAATGCATTTTCAACCGATGAGATGGTTGACGCACTGCCACAATGCCTACACACCACAAGGAACAAACATGTACAATATACATTTGACATGTCTGCAGCTTCTGCTCTGTAGCAATTGCATCTCCTCAAGTTAGCCTACATGCACCAAATGTAGCTCTGAATTACAAAAATTCTGTTGACTTTTTTTGGGGGGGGGGAGCCTGTGGAACCTTTGGAGTACAGATGGCCAACACGGCAGAAAATGACAAAAACATGGTATGCGTTTGTCCCTACCTTAAACTGCTGGAAAACCCCCGTTCCAATGCTGAGCTGAGCTACCGTGCACCTGTCTCTTAACAGCTCCTTGAGACGAGTCCTGCTGATCTGCACTCCTGGGGGTAACTCTCCACCCTCGGCCAAGATCTCCTCCAAGTCAGCGTTGGTGCCACCCGTGATCATGGTCCTGATCAACGTCAGCGAATGTGCGTTGAAGTATGTCTTTCAAAAGACAGAAAGGCATGATGTAGCTTAATGTCACCAAGAAGTATCAGAGCTCAAAGTTATGGCACTCCTAAGCACTAGACTTCCTGTCAACAGTCAGTAACTATTTCATAAAGACTGTGAGTAGTACGTAACCCAGGCAGCATGCTAAATATCAATTACTGTACTCATGAGGGAGTCTAGCAAGCATACGGCAAAGGCCATAGCACAGCCAAGGGCTGTGTCAGCTACAGTATACCAACAACGGTACACTATGCGAGGGATCGACCACACTCATGAAGGAATCTAGCACTCTGGTGGAAAAGGCTGTACCAGAGGCAAACAGCTGCGTCCAATACAACAAGATGAGACAAAGCAAGAGACTTACTGCGCTCATGAGGGAATCCAGCACACTGACTGCAAAGGCTGTGCCACAAGCAAATGGCTGGGTCAAATACAGCTCCGTGTCTGGATCATCTTCATCATCGTCATCCAGAAACTGCACATTAACATCATTCACTGCAGAAAAATGGGGATCACATGGTCATATCGTTAGAACCACTCCAACAATCCATTGATGCTCTTGCTGACATTTGTTTGGCCATTTTCTTAAAATTTACAGTCTGGTTCAAATTTCAGAGATAACTTCAGCTTGACTGATATCACTATTTCATGTTAAAAAAGTAAAGATGCCATCCTATGAGCCAAAAACTACCTCAATTAACACTGTGAAACAGCTAAAACTTTACGTCAGAAAAAAAGATTACAGAGAAAAGCCTGAACACTCTGTAGTCTGTTATGTTTCAATTCAGTCACAGGAATTTTTCATGGGAAAAAGAAAGGAAACTATTAATGGCAAGAAATTACAGGAATGGATAACAACTCGGGTATTCAGCAAAAATTAAAATCAGCTATCCAAAGTGCTACCCCGACCTAGCCAGATGAAATAATCAGCTACAGAATTCTCATTGTGTTCTCCATCATCCACAGCTGCGGAGTTGGCATCCCGGAGGTCCTAAATTTCTACTTCAGAGGAGAGCCGAGGGGGCTAACTAGGCTGTTTGAAGGAGGAGGCTGTTATCTCCTTCTGGGGCCTAGACCTGGCTGACTTACCAAGCTCGGTGATCATTGGTACGGTGATTTTGGGTGTGCCTTGAGTGGAGAGGCTCCTCTTGATACTGCCGCCGTTCAGTCTGGTCGGTGACTCTGAAACCAAATCAACACCACGGGATGGCGAATTAATGGCTTGGGATGAGGTGATGTGTGTGACAGTTAAGAGAGATTTCCAAGAAGGTTTAATTTTGGGAAGTATTGATCTTCAAGATGCAAGTGACTCCAGTGCAGTGTTCTATTCGAGTCCCTCACAAATCTCTGAAAGTCCCTCTATCACAAGTCCATCACAAGTCATTCTGTCCTAAGCCATTTCCCAACTATTCAAATGAACTGTGACAAAAGCATTCCTTTGTCATTGTTGGTCCTGTTAATTATGACAGGCCTTGTGACTCGACTTGACACAGGATTTGTGAATGGACTTGTGAAAGGACTCCTGTTATAGCAGTTCTCACCATACACCTGCAAACATATTCAAACACTGGCACCATAGTGTTAGGGACAAGACATGTATTGAACAATAGCTACTGTAGGGATGAATCTATTAAGGGAACAAATTTCTGTTGCCACAAATAGATCTGGGATTTCCCCTCCAAGACACAAACACATGACTTTACATGCCTCGTGTGGCTATTCCCGGTTTTCCTGCAGTCAAAGAAACTCGGAGATTAACGCTTCATTTCTCTAATGGTGAATATCGTCCCTTCGTGCCAGAGAATTTGTTTACGGTTTATATCTATTCTGATCCTTTTCATGGTAGAACTTGTACGACCCCAAAATGCCTCTAACATGTCCAAAGGTGTCTTTCAAGGTGGGAGAATGTGTGTCTCTGGGGAAGTCCACACAATATCTTCCAACCTTATATCACATGGACTTTTGTTCTCAAGTCGAATGGATGTTTAAAACAAGGCCATGTACATACAGTATGTGTTAGCCAAAGGGATATCGTACATTTACATTGGCCACAATAACAGGTCATTTTCTTTTGTAAGGATATTTGTGGGAGGCAAATCAGAATACCTTTGGTCCCTGCATCCATGTTCAAATAATAACAGAACAAGTATGCACAGCAAAGCGCCCTCTCTCAGTCACGCATGCGGCTCATAAACCCACTGATTAGGATACTCACCAGCAGCGTAGGCCGCGATGATCTTGGAGCGTCGGCTGTGGGCCCCGGCAGCCATGATGGATTTCAGATTTAGCGAGGAGAGGATGGTCTCCTTGTCTTGGAGACCCTGCTCAACGCTATCGCCCAAGTTGGCTGACAGGATAACGCACATGGCACTCTGATGTACGTTGACGTTACACATGTCAGCACGACTTAGTGGGGACCCCTGGTCATCAAGGAACAACCTTCACTTAGAAATAGCCATCTCTACCTCTAAAAAACAACTTGAACACCTTAAAATGAACTTTTTGAAATCAATTCCTTTTTTTTTACATTTGTTATTCATACTTTCAAACTATTTCAAACTTTCAAACTATTTTTAACTCTTTAACCAAATACAGACAAATAGCTGTGATTTACAATTATCATCCATTTCTTATCTCTCCTCAACAAAGTACCATTGTTCAAAAAGTTAGGCACTGTGGGTTTTAGACCATGCCCAGAAAGAAACATATTACCTTCAATTTGACAGAAAGAAACTCTTCTGAAATTTCACTCAAAGAATGTATGAAGTCAGGTTCCACTTACATTATAGATGAAAACTTTGGGGAAATTCATGATTTTATCCCACTCTCTCTCGATGTACTTGATGTTGCCTAGGAACACGATGGTCCTGAGGTCTTCATATTTGAAATTGCTTGCTCTAAGCGGCATGACAAAGTTCCGCAGACCAATCAGAGGTGACGACTCGTCTCCAAAGAGACAAACGATGATGTGGTTGACCAGGTATCGGCGCTTCTGTGCTGATGTCTAAGGTAGAGATGAGAATTAGACTTCATGGCAATCAGGTGACTTGTGTTTCTGATTTTGAGTGGCTCTCTCATCAGCTCTGATAAAATCAATCTTTTGTGGAAAATCTAGTTGACCATGGGAACTGAAAGGTATGTACCATAATAAATTTTCTGTTAGTAAATGTTGCTATGCATGCTTCATTCTGTCCATTTCTCACCAAACATGAAAGTATCATGAATCGACTGATTGTGCCCGCTAAGTCACAGTGGGCATTAAACATCAGCAAACATGGCGTCCTCCCACAGCACATTGTGTCATAAGTGTCATTTACCAAAACTAAAGCTAGCGGTGATAAGTCTTCAGACTACTGATGTGCTGAGCACAAAACTCGGCTTTATTTTTTGTAAACAACACTGAAAACACACTTTGCTATGGAAAGATGCCGTGTTTGGTGATGTTTGATACACACTATAGGTCACATGACTTAGTCTATTAGAAAATAGAACATAACAGCAATTTCTTGGAGGTAATTTCCCCATATAACAATCAAGCATTAAACCAATATGTATCAAACAACAGAATTATGATATATTAAAATATCCAGAATTTAGTTCCTCGTACCTCCTCCATTTCTACAGGCATTCAGTAAATAACCAGAATTGGTAACTGTGACTTAGGCTGTATCCGAATCTCTTGTCTAGAGCTAGGTCTAGGTCTTCGCTCCATTGGAAATGTGTGGAGACGCATAGACAATAGACCTAGCCGTAGCTCTGGAAGCCCGTTTCGGACACGGCCATAGATTCACTTGTTTCATGGAAGTTCAAATACTGTAGCGAGTAATTACTTCTTCCTGCAAGACTTACACATTGTACTGTACATCTATAATTTGAAAATGATTTTATTTTTATATTGCCCAAATTTAATGTATAAAATGTTCAAATGTGCATTGAGTCACAATACATTCTTTAGCAATATTTTGTACTCACAATCAGTGCATCCTCAACCGTCCTGGCTGGTGTCCAGTGAAAGAGACCAGTGAAATCATACGCCGGCCGATCATGATCTGATGATTCTGATAAGTTGACTCTGCAAGACGCAAAAAATAATTGCTAGTCTTGATATGACTGACTTCAAGACCCTGCCAAATGCTAGTGCAACAACTTACAGAGAACTGTTACACTGCCATCAGTAGGCCTGAAAATAAAATGATACACAGTCACTTATTTTGTTTATTCCTCATAGTGAATGAGAGAGGTAACTTTTTGATGAGGCAACAAGCTTTCTTTGGGTAAGGCACACTGTGAATAAACTTTCTCACAAGTGTCTGGCACAGGGTGCAGAAAAGAGACTTCACAAATCTGTGGCATATTAGAGAGCCTTTTACATGGTAGCAGAGGTTTTTTATTCTCCCTACCTTTCTGTTTGTCACCAGTGAGCGTTTCAAATGCACCGAGGGGTATTTAACAATAATTAAATAAGGAAAAGGAGTGGGAAGTCCACATAACAACATAAAGATCCCTGAACAAAATAAAATCAGTCACTAGGATGTAACAACAGACTGATGCAAAGAGATGCCGCAACTGCAGTGGCACGATACTCCCGTGGACCTTTTTCGACGGGGGTGCATGTGCATTGGACAAATCAGAGCATCTTATTGGTCAAAGAGGTTTTCTATTTGTTGTATCACCTGAATGCGAGCATTACTGTGCTATTGCATGCATGGTTTCTAATTCAGTTTTGCTGTATCAGCCTATAACCTTGTCTTTTCAACGGAAGTCACTCTTATGAAAGGAAGAATGATCTAGCCATCCCAAGCTGAAGTGCACCCCAAAAGGCGAAAAGAAAGACAGGTGGTTACAAGCAGGTTCTGTACATACATGCCGGAGTAAATTGGTTATGCGTACTCAATGTAATCTGCGTCAAACGTGTATATACTTGCACGCCTCATGGTGCGCCTATGCGGTGAGTACCAAAAAAACCACACCCTCTTTGGTTCCGCTCGGAGCGGATAGAGGGAATGAATTTTTCAGATAGACTTTGCAAAACCTTAGCTTGAATGGAATGTTGGTGTAGAGGTAGCAAAAACATTGCAATGCATAACATAATTCTCAGAAATTTTAAACGAATTGGGAAAAGTTGAAATATTTTGAAAGAAAAATGCTTCTCTTTCCAATCATTTATTCTTCCAGATCTGGTTTGAACAAAATGTAGAATGTTTTTTATTTCAAAGGAGCCATTTTTATCCTTAGTTGCAATGGATACTTGGACATTTTGTTTACAAGCAGAATGCTTTATTGAAATGATTGGAACAAGTCTTGTCGGTGACATCAAATTGACAATCTGAAGGGACAGCTACCAGTACATGGATGCTACTTGAATTTCCATACTGTTAACTCATTAGGCTGACAGAAAGGGTATGTCTGGGACTTGACTCAACACCACGGGTATAGACCTTCCTCATAATGTGACTCTGGGGAGACACTCTGCATATTGCAGCTTTGTTCAAAAACAAGCAAGAGTCGCTTACCCTTGAATTTTTAACTCTGCTAATTCTGCACTCGGTGACCTTGCAGGGGCTGAAAAAAATATTCAGTAGGCAAGAAAAGTCATTAGCTATCATGGTATGAACAGCATCTGATCTTCTGGGTGAACAAACTGTCTGAAGTTCTATCTCAGAATTCTTTTGCTTTAGTAATAGATTACTCTTATGCATAACTTAAACTGATGCATATCACTGTCTCAAAGAGCAGGAGAGTTGGCACATATCAGCTTTGTATTTAGTCATGCGTAAATGTCTTGAGGCAAACATTGGCTAAAAGGTAAAAAATTCCTCGTTATTAAAAATGCAGTGGATTATAGGCATGATGTGATGAGGTGATTCATTGCCAAGGTGAACGATGCAGCAGCGTGAGAACGTTTGAAAAGATTGATAAAGGCAGGGGGAATGACGTGAGCCAGAGATAATCTAACCACAAGTGTGGCAATGTTCATGGAGCTGCTTAACAGTTAGCAGAAGTTTGAGCAGAAAATTTCACTAACCGTAATTAAGCACAATTTTGTGGCAATGGTTGGCGTGAGTTGTGCTTACAGTCACGCAGGCATAGATATTTCAACTGTTTTGTCACTATAATTATGCAAATTTTGCCCCAAGGTCAGCATGCCTTTGCTATGCTTACTGTTTACAGTCCCCATAAAATATGCAGATTAAAGTGCTTAGCAGTGCCATGAAATTGGGCCCTGGTGGAATTTGGAAGAACTACAAATAGAAAACTTCGTAAAAATGATTTTCATTGAGTTGAGCTTAAATTTGGAAATATGTTAGGCCATACTGATGCCAGAGTTTTGTAAAAGGTCCAAACTAAAATTATATTAATGCTCATTTTAAAGGCTTATTTTCTCATTTTTGATTTTTCAAACGGTCCACTTTTGAAAGTTCATATTATCACACTGGAATATTCACTTTTCGAAATGTAAAGCAGTATTTACAATAGTAAGACCTATATGTCATTAATTGGCCTACTGTAACAACTGAAATTTACTTCCATTCTCAATTTCGGGAAGTGTTTTCTAAATATTGCCTGAAGGCTTTTGTCCTCCCATTTTTTTTTTATTTTTAAAGGGGATGCTTGCAATAAGGTATTGGGACAACAGCAAATGCAATTAATTTTAATTACAGGTTTTTGCCTTTACCCGATATATCAGTGTTGTAGTCAACTGAAGGCCATCACGACCAGACACAAGAGCAGACACAAGACCAGCCACAAGTAACAGAGTGAATAATGACAAAGCAATTGTTTTGTTGCAGTTCATTTGAACAGTTTGTGACTTAAATTCAGACTGGAGGTCTTGAGTTGGTCTTGTGTGGTCTTGTGAAAGTCTTAAGTGGTGTCGACTAGGTACAACACTGCTAAATATATATTTTTTATAATCATTGCATACTCAATGCTTGTCCAAGAGCTTGTGAAAAAATTCACAAACTTACTCTCCCTGATGCAAACTACATCTTGAAATGCAGTTAAATATGCACAAACCATCATGTGCCATGAAAGTGCTGTTCCAGGCTGTAAAGCGCCCTCAACTATCCGTGCATGAAGCCATTAGCAAATTGCTCATTGTCTGACTATAAGCCTTCGCAAACCTATGTGTTTACTGCAGTAGACAATGACTAACTTGTCTGTTTTTCTTTTTTTGTGAGAGAATTTCCAGCTGAAGATGAGGGAAATTAATAGTCTTTTACATGAACAACAAATAGCTCACAATGTGCATGTACGTAATTTTGTAATCCAACCTAATAAAAAAGGGGGTACCACTGCTTTTCAGTTCAAGGCTTTTAAAGTAATCTAACATAATGGACCTTGATGGGACCTGCAACATTTTCACCAATATAATATTTATCTTCGTGTCGGGATGCCAAACGCAGTGATGCATGAAAACAAGTTCTGTTTGCTCTGTCTAATGCAAACTATAAGCAAATTCCAGAACCAATCAGCGTCACAACTCTCTTTAAAACTAGAAAAGTGGCTGCCAGTGTGTACTGCTGCGTGAATGTTTGCCTGAGGGTTAATAAGGGGCATCACACAATGACCAAGACTGAAAGTAATATGTGAGTTCGTCGTTTTTTAAAAATCCTCATCTCTCATCGAAGACATTTTTCCTACCTGGTTCGTGGTGATCACCTAGCCTGGTCATTGCCAGCAGTTTGTGTCCATCTTTGTGGGTGTACTTCTTCGCATGGTCTAGTGTTACAAGAACAGACACACCAGTGAGTTAACACCAAGACAACCGGATTGAAACTGTTTGAAGAATGGGACGAAACCAGTTTAATAGAAGTAAACTGACAAAAAACGTGCTGTACAGCAATTTAGAAAATATGCCAAAGAGAAAGTCAGTGGGAGGTTTTCACACAAGGGAGAAAATACAAGGGTATTGCTTTCCCAGTGAAATATAAAAAGGCTAGTTCAAACGAAAAGAGATCACTGACCTTGCTGCAGTGGCTGGAAGTAGTGTGCATTTAAATACTGATTATACTCATTTCTAAAAATATCAAAGTTGATGTCATTTTTGTATTTAATGGGAATATGCTAGTCTCTCTGCAAAGCTTTCAATTCATTTTCTTTTCAACCCAAACGTCTGAGTTCATGGCATGAAGAACTTCTTTAAAGGTTACCCTGTGAGGGCCCCTCCCTGTCTGCCCCCTCAAACACCCCCGGCATCCTCGATTCATCTCAATAATTAAACCAAGACGCAAACGGAGTCACAGAGAAAAAAAAAGAAAGAGCCAGTGACTGGCAAACTCACTGTTGTCCAGGCTCTCGCACTCTTTGCATTCACACTTCCAAATCTTCTCCACTTCGACACCTTCGCTGTGGCAGGCCCGACAGTAGTAGTATGCCCTGCCGACAGCAAGAAAGGGGAAATCCAATCATTGATGGCAATCAGGATTTTAAAGATAGTCCCGCACAAAGGGGGGAATTTTGTCAGATGCTCAACCACAAAGGCTGAGTCAATTTTAACAACGGAATATTCAAATCATCGACTTTCCATTCGATCAAATATTTGGTCGTAACAGATTCCCACAAGAGCAAAAACAAAACATCTATCAGTTTTTACAAACACTAAAATGGAATAACTTGACGGAAAAGTAACTTTTGGCATTGTTGTTAGACATATGCAATCAGCAGCCTATGAATTTACCCACAACACCTTGGAATATGCTCTTAGAATGCAATATTGTAACCAAATAATTGAATTTTTCCCTTTTTCACTCATTGCTTTTCACCTCCAAATATGCGAATTTGATACAAAATAATCAAAATCAATCAAACATTCAAATGTTCATTACAGCCCTTCCACTGCCTAGGGAAAGAAACTAATACTGCTTAATTTTAATAAGAATGGTAAAATAGAATTCCCGCAGAGCTCTGCAGTATATATTTGAGAGTCATTGTTTTACAATTTCATATATCAACATATTTTTTCCCATTCTGTAGAGGTAATGCATGTAAATATTTCAAAAGAGGTTATTTAATTTGGAGATTGCCGTTTTAGCATTTTAGCTAAAATCTTCAATGATTGGCAAGTTGTGAAAATGACGCAGAAGCCCAATGCCTTCTACAAGAAAAGCAGATGTGTTCAACAAGAATACTGCTCATAATGGGCTATGTTGAAATGAAAAGGAAAGGAAGCACGCATGAAAGGCAAAACTTAGAACAGAACCCACATGCATGAGCTTGAAAAACCCAAACTTGACTGCATTTCGGAGTGGTTAATTCTGTTGAATTGAAGTCACGTCTGACAATGTCGAATCTGCAGTTTTGGAAATCAATACTACTAGGAATGCTTTTAGAAATGAAGCAACGTAATTGGGTAATTTTGAAAAGGATGACCAAAAAGACAACCAATTGTCTTTAAGCATTTAACCTTCAGTTTTATTTCCTGCAATAACTGAAATCAAAAGTTAACTGGTTCAAAGTTGCTGTCAATGCACACATCTAGAAATCAACGAGGCAACCATCCATATAGCCACATCGCACTTTACTTCATGTCGCAGTTTCACTGTCGCTTTCACCTCTGACAGCAGCCCCTAAACCCAGACGCGTCTGCGTCACGCTTCATCACTCACACCGTGAAAAATTTGCCACCCTTCCATGAAAACACAACCCCCCCCTTGCAAAGCCCTCAAGAAAATGTCAGACAGGTTCAATGCTAAAAAGAGGGGTAGGGCGGGGAGGGGGGGGTGTATGCGAAGTACATTCTGGGTACTCCTAAAGTCATTAAGGTGACTCTATGCATCATTGATGATGATTTCAAAAACCCCTCATGATTACAAAAAAAAAATGATAATAAATTAGCTGACTTGGGCGGGTGCGAACATTTCTTAGAAGTCATTTAAATTCGAGGTGCAGATAACAACCTCCGATACATACTGGGAGTACAGCCAGCTACAGCTACAGCCCTGGTTTGATTCTTGACGAAAGATTTTGTGCAGCCTTGCAGCAAAGCAAGAGATTTTGAAATGGCTGGAAAACTCAAAGTTAAAGTGATACTCTGTAAGTAGCCTGTGCTGGTACAGGGCTACCTCAGTCACATAATTTCATAAACTGAGTAATAAACATGGTGGGAAAGCCCATGATATGATACAAACCATTCTCGTCTTACACAATGGATGAAGAGAACACACAACTCAACACTGCAGTCCAATTAATATTATTCCACTCCATCCATGGAAATTAGCATTTTTCTTTGGTGAAAGTTCATGTTCAAAGCAAACACATGAGCACTGAAAAGCAGCTTCACATGCTTCTTTTCAACAACAGCTTTATCAAACATTAATATCAACCATGAAACAGCCACTGAATTGGAAGTTTTTATGCATTTCGCTTGAGGTTGGTTCAATGAAATTGATCTGAGAACACATCTTTGATCTTCTATATAATTAAGATCTGTACATCTTTAATTTCATTGACTGTCCCTCCATTTCTTTGCATTTCTTCCTCTGAAGAAAATGAGCCTCTCCTAGCTCAGATGGAGAATAACATCAAAGAAGGAATGCCTGTCACCTTAAGCTTGACTTGTTTGAAATGATGGCTTGTCTTACCTCTTAGCTTCAGTTGCATCTGGAGCCAGGAAGAACCCAACTGTTCCCTGGTTGATGGTGATATAAGGACCTGGGTTAATGATAATTCTGAAACAAAGAAAAATCAAAAATAATCTTTACTTGCATTATTTATCATTAAAACTGCATAGAATATTAATATTTAGACCTAAAAATTTACTTTCAAGTTTTGTTGAATTCTGAACAGCCTTTGTTTACCTTTTTCATGTAATAATTATTGTTTTTAATTTTACTGGTTTGGTTTTCATATATCTACAGACTTAGCTAAATAAAGACAGTGTGGATTTTGCTTTGTTCAAGGCATTGTAATATATTATAAAAACATCAGTGGTATTATTCCTATGTCCTCTGTGTTCCAGTACTTAATGATGTTCAGAATTTCTTTTGTGGAATCATTTCAACGTACAAGGTTTTCATTACATAGTATCTTGGTTGTTTTAATTTCTCTGGTCCAGACTGGTCACACGCCAAGTTTGCAAAAAGGACTTTGGAATCTCTTACGAGTAACTTTGTGCAAGGTTCGCCTCACAAAAGTACAACATGTGAAACGGTGTATTGGATTTGAGCTGTCTGACACAGCTTGTCAGGCAGGAAAGCTCACAGCCATTGTTGTTTAGTTTCTGTTGATTTAACCCATATGTAAGTGGAGTTTCAGAGCTTACTCGGTTTCGTCAAACTCGTTGTTCTGCTGTACAGCAATCAGTAGTAGCTTCAGCTTAATGAAACACTCCCTGTGAAAGATGACACACACCTCATGTCAAATCTTTGTTGACCACACGAAGCAAAGAGACAACATAATTTACCACCAGTGAATAATGCCGCAGGTCGCATCGTCTACGTCAACTATTGTCCCTTGTGTGTCATTTGTGGGAAGACTTATGCCGTTCTTACTCCTGGAAAATCCAAGGACAGGTGAAGACTGCATCCAGCAACATTGTCTGTTGCTTATTTGCACATGCCCAAGCCCTCCCCTCTTTGAGTATCAGATTTGATATTTGAATAGACGAGCCAAATTTACTCACTTGACCATCTCTGGGGCTGTCATGCCATCAAACGCTCGAGACAGACTTTCTGTGTAGATCTCATTCCCACAGCCGTGAAGGTAATGAGACATCCATCCCTCTGGGCTCTCCTAAAAAAAAATGTAACACCGTAATGGACAAAAATCTCACAGACCCCAAAATGGCCAGCAATTGTTTAACTCGTGAAAGGTTACATTAAGGGTTATTAAAATTCTCCTTAAGTGTTGTGCATGAGACAGCATGTCTTCAGAATTTTCTTTCAGTTGAGGAAAATTTAATCCTTCAAGTTCTGTCCTGTTAGTTTGAGAGGGCAGACCACTTTTAAAGTGAATTTTTTTTCAGTGTTACAATGTTACAGTGCAACGGGCAATGCACTGAGGTGGAAGTTCATGTTACGCATAAACATGCATATTAACTTTTGCTGTGCATAATCTACAAGTAAATACATAATGCTCCCTAAACTCCAAACATTAAGGTGCCTGGACCCGTCATTGTAAGGTGGCAGACTTTACGATTAGTAAAGCCATCAATTGCACGATGACGTGTAAAGTCTATTAATAAATTTTCAACATTAGTATTCAGCACTTTCTGAATCATTTCTTCACATACCTAATAGGCACAATGAACTCATTTTAGTTTACAATCAAAAGCCTTCTTTGGAAATTTGACGTTATCTGTTAGTACGCCTTCTTCACTTTTGAGCTTTTTTTAGGCTACTTTCACCACCATCATCAACTGTCTTCAAAATATTGATGATGACCTGTATTTTTGTAAACTCAGAAATTCTAGTCCTTGTCAGTATAAAATTACACCAGGTGGAATAATTTCTACGACAATAATAGCCTGCAGTCCCTCAAGGGAATATCAAAGGTTTTGAAAAATGTACTCATACTTAAGAGAATGTAGGTTAATTACATGGAGTGCTGAATTCTAATGCTATGCGTGAGCAGATGGGTACAATGTTCAATATTACATTTTCAGTAAATGGAATCTTCATCTTTAGTCAATAAATTGCACGAAGACAGAACAAGGATTCTGAGGACTGGAATCCTTCAGTAAATGCAACAGTGTTTCTGAGGTATAGCGGTTTCTTGTTGAATCTTGAAAATCCAGTTTTTAAACACAAGTTTACTTTTATCATGTGCATTGAAGATTATGTATACTTATAAAGTATTTTGATCGTCGAGTTCCAACAAAAAAAATTTCTGACTACTTTGAGAGATCTTCAGGTGCACTAACCAACAGTCACGGTCATGTGACGAAAACGAGGAGGAATTCTTCCCATTTCCATTGAACCCATTTTGTTAATTTTTGAGTAGTGTCCTCAATATTCAGGAATATTGAGCAGTACTGCTCTTCTTTGCATATTCACCAACATGCATCAAAATACCGAAAAAAGTTCTTCAATTTTCTTGGTACTTTATCTGCACAATGATCTCTACTTTTGCACAGGTTTGATTATGCCAACGCTTTAATATCTAATAGATGAAAGCATGCGGCTTCTAAAAATAGAAGTATGATCCTAGACATTACCTAAAGCTCTGTTTCCATTAATGGCATCTATCTGCCATCATATTCTGTGACAGCAGGGAATACGTCCTGCTCTTTGAAAATAACCTGATACCGTGCTGAGAAATTCAATGGAAAGTTGGAGATTGTGGATACTATCAAATTCTCAGCTTGACTTTTGGTAATAACTTCTTGATAGGGCTCCAGACTCATTTAAAATGTTTACTGCCCTTAAAAGTACGCAGCAAACATTTGCACATTGGCCCTGCAAATTACGTACTTCAATTTTTCTGCAGCAAAGATGAGCAAGCAAAAAGGTTCTGAACTTAAGAAGGCTTGAGGCTTTATCATTCTATGAATTTTAATTTATAGAGTTAAAGACTCAACAAATCCTGGGAGTGAGGCCCAGGTTAAGACACCCCTTCAGAAAACACTTTACCCTTCCTGCCTTGTCCCATATCTGGAAGTACATTTTTCAAAATTGAACGTAAAAATAACTGGGCTAAATCTTCACAAATCCAAGACATGAATCTTACAGTTCATACCATTTAGGTCAACAGCAGGCAGAGACATGGCACAGCAAATACATGGAGATCACATGGCAATCACAACACACCAATAAAAGAGAAGAGAGAAAAACCAGAAACATATCAAATAGAAACTGTCGCTCTAACAGGTGATGCAATCAGAGGTGGGGGAGGGGCAGAGGTATTCAAGGTTCTCTGGTTCATCTAGACATCAGACTCTAGTCTCAGACTCTGGTCTGTGAAAACTGCATGCATGCCACAAAAAGTCTGACTTATGAGAGGTCATTTTTGTCCCCTCTCCACAAGGGGCAGTCAGGCTGCAACTGCAAACTACATGCTGGCACTGGTTTTAATCTTGCACGTTCTACGAAATTTGAAATGTTGAGAGTGTCCCTCAGAATCAAGTCTCTGAGGTTTTCTCACCAGCAAAGTTCACAGTCTCTCACTGTCTCCTGCAGTAGGACCACAATCTGGTAACTGAAATTTAAGTTGCGGGGGAGAAATGTACCTTTGGTAATTTGTAGCATTTTAGCCTTGAAAAGGTTTCTTCAAGGGTTGAAATATATTCCAATGTCAACTGCACCACTTACATAGTTGGAAAACTTTGCACATACTTAAATTTAAGGAAATCCTTTGCTTTTGCAACTCAACTTCAAAATATAGTTTTGTGGCATCATACAAGTTTATATGGGTTTGTTCTATGTTAATGTGACCTAAAAATTCTTCATCACAGACAAAATCTTCAAAAGCCGGGTACTGCATGTACGAACCTGAACATCAAATTGTGAAGGTTGTGGACGTATCACATGTCCTTCACTCACCTGAGGTGGTGTGGGATAGTGGACAGCAATCCACCTCTCAACAGGGACAGAGGTCATGACCTCCCCCATGCCTCCTTTCATGAGATTCCTCAGATCTCATGAGAGTTCAGCAAAAGGATCTGTGATCCACCACCTGGCTGAATGAAGGAAACAGGATACCTCCGAAACATTCCAGTAGGTAGTACCTTTAGAAATTTTGTCTGTGATGAAGAATCTTTAAGTTCACATAGTTTTGTGGCATTTTTTCCAAGTTAAGTCTGTCACAGAGCAGATCACAAACAAGATTCTATTCTATAAAAGGAGTGTACATATGAGATCTTCTCACAACATTCAGTTACAACATCTAAAATGGGAAATGCAATAAAAAAAAAAGAGTGGGACTTCATGAACACAAGAAAGGGGGGTATTGCAATTAGTCTATCAGAAATCACTGGTCTATCAGAAATCACTGGAATTAAACTGAAAAAAACATTCAACAACAATTCAACAAAAAAGGACTTACTACAATTTAATGAGAACTCTTTCCTGGTTGTTTCAAAACATGTTAGAGACAAAGGTCCGTCTGGAAAAAACAATGACTGTCTTGTGGAAGGAAGAGAAACCAGACAAAAAACTATAAACCACTGACAATGCCAACTTACAAGGTACGTCTCAGCCGGTGAGGAGGCATTCTTTACCACTGACTGAGTCTGTGAAAGCAAAAGAAAACAGCATATTGCAATAACATGTACTATTATAAACGGCGTTTATTCCAACCTAGTTACCTTTGGGTTTGGGTAAATCAGCCAAATACAATCTAAACAAGATTCATGTCAATTAATTTGGGATTTTTGCCGTGCCCCACGTGTATTATAACACTGCATACTCAGTGTTTGCCCCATGAAGGCTTGTGAAAAAACCACAAGCATACTCGGGTGGGACTCAAACCAAAGACCTCCTGGTTGTGAGTTCAAGGCGCAAATACATCCTTGGAAGATTCGATGTCTCTGCAATGATTACACTGGAAGACGTATGTCACACCAATACACGAGTCATAGCAAATTCTTTCCTTACCAACTTTTAGACTAAAATGTTTGTAAAATTGCCTGGAGCTTCTTTTAAAAGCTCAGTGGCCTGGGCACAATTGGATACATCAGTATGATGTGACAACAATAAAATGGAGCCGATGCATCAACTTCCAATCAACACAAATTAGTAGTCACAGATTCAGTGAAATTTCAGTTTTGAGCCTACCCAAGAATTTGGCCACAGATAGACTGGTTTATCAGTTCCAACTACGTAGTTACATTGAGAGTAACTTGCAACTCACAACAAAGTACCCACACCATGTACCCTGCAGTTTGAAACCCTGAAAAGAACATGCAGATTTTACCTCAATGTCACTAATAACAACCTAATAACAACAAGATTCGTTCATATAGAAACAAAGAAATGAACTGAAAGTACCCAAAGAAATTGAGAAGTAAGCCCATAGGTTAAAGTACCAATCTACAAAGACAAAGCCAAATGGAGTGCACCGTTAGGCAGACACGATGTTCCAGCAATGTTCCATATTTTGGCCATGTGTTTGTAGACTTACAGAAGTATGCAGCCCCATGCAACCGCAATAAAGCCTGATACCAGCTTACAGATGAGTTCTAACCTCTGACATGTCCCATGCATTTGTTATGCTATCCACAACTTTGCTATGAAATCGTTAAAAATGGAAATACTGCTAATTAAGAGGAAACACTTGAAGAAAAGATGTCAAATATTGCACAAACTGTGTATTCATGAGGTGTACGTTGGCCTATTCCAAGAGAATTCAGTTCTATTTTGATAATTTTTGGACACAAATTTAGGTAGGATGAATCAAACAAGAAAAAAACACAAGAAAGAATCCAACTTTGGCCCATTAATATTTCATTTACACTTCAGAGACTCCCCAAACTAGTAAGGAGACTCAACCACCTCAGTAGACATAAGTTTCAAAAGCATGTATTTACAAGGACACATTGAAAAAGACAAGAAAGTAAACCTATGAAGGTATGTGTCAATCTGAAATCAATCCCCTGCCCCAATAAATGCCATTTTATATGAAATGACTTTGTTCTGTGCCCTCATTTTGTTAAGCTTAAGACTTCATGAAAATTTGTTGGACTTTCAAACAACTGTCAGAAGCACGTGTTTTCATAACAGCTAAGTTTAAGCATAATAGCTAAGAGTAAAGTAGGTCTGAAATGTCGCCAAATGTTATTACTTCAACTGTGGGTTTCAATTGTCAGAGTTTTAGAGGTAAAATTCCAAGGCAGGTAGGATGCCTGGTCCTGTCTGAAAATTGAGGAATTGAAGTATCACATTTTGGTTAAGCATTCCCAGTTGGACATAAACCAGTGGGTATAATTTAATTTACTCGTGTTAACAACTTGGAAAGTTCAAACTGGGTAGGACGCTAGTTGTAGAAATATAGTTGAATGATTTTAAATAAATTGGGGGGTTTAATTCCACTGATGGTGTGAATTTCCATTTTAACATGAAAAATTTTCAACTGTAGAACACTGCTACAACAGTCTTCACAAGTTTAATGCTAATAACTTTTCCAAATCAAGAAAATAACTTTTTAGTTTAAAATTAATCTTTATTCATCACAGGAAGAAGAGATACTTGCCAATAAAGCAATAAAAGCTATAAAATATAAACACTTGTTTCCAAGGTGAGCTTGTGCATTTCTCCCTGAAAAAGAATTGGCAAATAGCTTGAGTCAATTTGTGTCCTCGGTCAGTGAACTCAAAATTTCTGGATGGCAATTAAAAAAAAAAAAAAATGGCACCATATTTGTTAATGTATGCTTGAATTATCCTTATTCCGATGGACGGAATTATGGGATTAAAGGATTACCTTCTAGAGAGAATTACTCTACAGTTGACGAAAATTTGACAATTATGATAATTTATGTACAAGGCATATACAAGGACTCAACACAGAGCGAACCACATCACAAACAACCTCTTTGAACATTGGTGATCGCAGTCAGTGATAAAATTGCTACAGAGTGAACCTTCCTCTGAATATTACCGGACACTCAACCTAAATATAATGAATATTCACAGTGAAATTTGTCTTTATCGGTCCCTAAAACCCAAACAGTGGACAAAGGAATGTGATGTTAACAATGGCTATATGAAGTCAGTAAGTTCAATTTGAGAGATGTGTATCTTTTTATTTATGTGTTCACATTGCTTTTTAAGGGCAATAAACCAGGTTAGAAGTAAGGCAGATATATGTAGTCTTTGCAAAAACACACCCTCTCTTTTCCCACCACAGAGAGAGAATCACAGTATGTCACTGAGACTAATTGTACATGAATGGATTGAATTAAAGCTTACATGTACATGCTCTGCAATATTCATGAATACCACAATATAAAAATTATAATACAGCGTTTAAAGTATAAAAGCAAGGGGTGGCAGTGCAGCTGGGACTTTACATGTATAGTGAATGGATTACAAAACAGTACAAATAGTTTGTGCCTTAGTTTGCATAATAATTAAATTCACTGCATATCAATAGATCAAAGCTTCCGGGAAAGGTGTTTTTGGAGGGAGGAGGGAAAACCTAATAATCCTGATGAGAGATCTGTGAGACGAGAACATCTGCCACACAAATGCAGATATATCCCTTAAGCTACTAGATTCAGCTGGTAATGGAGGCAAAACGGGTGTTCCCACATCATCGGAAAACATCTCATCCTGTTTATGGTCACCTCAATTTATATCATTGGCTTCTTAATAATCTCCACACCATAGCAAGTTCATGTATGCCTCAATTTGGTGTACAGTTGAAGAGACATGCTTCAATAGCATGTCCATCAATATCTTGGACTTCAGTCGATTAATGTACAATTAATGTACACGAGCTAGGTGGACTGCTGACCAAGGAAACAAAAACACTCACAGGTACTCTCTTATAAAGTAATGATTACAACTAACATTCTGATTCGGTTATTATTTTTAGTGATCATTCTTTTTCTAATTTTTCTTACCTACCCTTACTGCATTAAACCCTAAAATACTGTAATGTGGACAGATTTACAATCATTTGGGGAAGATTTGAAATTTTTTTTTTGTCAAGGAGGTAGGTTTCAGATGTATCCTGACTTGGAATTATGGACAAGTTGCTACAATAAATATGAGAATATGAATCTGTATACTTGCCTACTTGGATACTTTTTGAACACCAAAACTGGAAATTTTAAGTTTTCATGTTGCTAATCCTCCACATGTCAATGCTACTTTTTAAAAATTGCCCAAAAGATAGGACAGTTTGAAATAACGGCTGACTTTTGGCATGGGGGAGTCGTTTCTCATCATCAAAATGCAGGAGGGGATAGAGCAGTCATCCTCTCCATCTCCTCAAAACATGGGTGGGGATATATTCTCACCATTGCCCTCTCCCCATCCCCCAAAATCCTCTCCCCCCACCCCAAAGTTACAGTAGCGGGACTATCTTTTCTGACTAGAAGCATCCCCTCACTACCAAATGGAAGACAAACTAGTGGGAAAAAGTTCAACTTGGCATACCGCACGTATATGCCAAACCTGTACATATCCATGCACAGAAACTGGATATGTATACTCAACGCTCTCCGTGCCAAATGCCAAAGATTTCATACAAGCACTTGATGTTTTCCCACCAAAGCAACATTTTTAGAAACCCAAGCCGTGCGTTGTTTCTGCAAAGGACATATAGTTTCCAGCAAGAGGATTATTTCAACTTAACGTTTCTTATCATGAAATCCTTGCGATTTAAATCTACAACTGGAAAATGTTGTTCCATCTGGCCATCATCCTTCGGCTTCTCATCAATTTGTGATTAGTAAAAAGGCAGCAAGATTCTGCCAAGGCCACAAAATACTGTGCATAGAATCAAAGCTGAGGTTTATGTGTCACAGGATAAGAAGCGGCTAATCTCACAGCTTTGTTGTCACAATTTTTTGGTGATACAATGGGGGCGCTTCCAGAAAAGCCACACAAGGTTCACAAATCTCCTCCTTTACACAAAGATTCTCGTGAACAATGTCTGTATTGGAGTAGTTTTAAATGCACCATAGGCTAATCTAAGGTACGTATAAATTTACTAGTTTACTTATGGGAATGATCCCTTTTTTTCAGTTGAGCGATTGTCATCAGACAGCATACAAACATGATGATGGGAAAGAAATCGCTGTATCATCTGCTATGTCAATGACTAATCAAATGTCAATACTGGGACCTAAAAGTGCAACTGCTCTGCCCTTAGCAACGCATTTCAAAGCCATTCTTTTTTTTAAATTTATGTGGGGAGTGAGCTTATTGATGTTAAGTAATACGATGCCATGAGTGAGTGCTCTATACATGTATATGCCTGGTTTTATCTTTTTATCAGTATTATTCCGACACAATGGATCTTGTGTTAGATTTCACAGCACAAGAAAGGTAATTGTACAAGGAAAATATTTTAAACTGATAAAAACTTCCGGTCTTGCATAAATGAGCAGGGTTCTCCTGTGATTGGAAAGTTCAGGCCAACTTTACAAATAAGATGTTAACTGTTTTAGAGGAAAGAATCCATGGGTTATTGGCCATTAGCAGCAAACACTAGTCTTTTGCTCAGGAGCAATTGTTTGGCAGGCCCAGGGCCATGTATAGAAAGAGTTGTTGTATAAGTGTCAACATTGCTGGAAACAAATTGGCAGATGTACATGTATGTGCCAGTGTGCTTATACATGGGGCCTTGTGGGGTACCGGAACAATGGGAAGTATCCCACAAGACCAGTTTTTACCTCAAGGCTTGTGAAGAATTTCACAAAACTGATATTTAGAAATAAAAAAAAAATCTGTCACAAATTGAAGTGTTTTATATAAGGGACATGCGGTCAAAATTTCAACCCAGGAAAGTGAATTTGGTTTAAATTGGAGTGATTTGACATTTTTAGCATGTTGTGTGGGAGTTTTGTACACGAGAACAAAGGAAATACCCTGCAAGTATCGCTGTGTAAGGATGTGTGCAGAGAGACAGTTGGTAAGCTCTACTGTACACATACTGAACAGCCACTTGGTTTCCACAATCTTAATCTGGCACTACTCCCTCTGTAAGTCTATACTAAGCTACCTCTGGCACTAGAGCTGAATGCCTAGGGCTACTTTGAGGGGATTAAAATAGACCATTGCACCTGCTGAGTCACATGACCTATATACAGGTATCAAACATCAGCAAACATTGCGCCCCCTCCATAGCAAAGTGTGTTATACATGTAAGTGTTGTTTACCAAAATGAAAGCCAATTGTCAGTACACTACACAGGTCAGTAGTCTCTGCACTGTGCCCAGCGTTAGCTTTATTTTGGTAAATAGCACTTACAACACCCTTTGCTATGTTTGATGATGTTTGATACCCACTGTAGGTGCTGTGACTTGGCGGGCACAATCGGTCTCTTCTCAGGCATAGCCCAAGCAAGACCAGCCAACCCGTGACCTCCTTTTCCTGCAGTGTATTAAACCGCCATCAGGCACACATCCAGGGGGAAGGTTTAGGGTTAATCCCCCTGCTCTACACCTAAATAAATCGATAAAATGAATTAATTAGAGCAATAATAATAATAACAACAACAAAGGACACCCAACTGTGAGTTTAAGGGTAATGCAATGTATTACCTGTGTCTGCTTATCAGCAATAATCAGTAAAAATCAATCAATAAAAATCTTGGTCTGGTCCCCCTCAGAATATTTCTGGATCCATCCCTGACTATGGAATTTTGTGGATCTTTCTGGACTCCACAGTAAAGTATGATGATGCAACCACACTCTTAGGAATCTAATTCCCTGTGTCAGCAGAACAGTCAAGTAAAAAAATAAATTTTGACAAGGCCCCAGAAGATGAGTCATACAACCATTTTTCCCCATCACTTTTGTTTTTTAAGCTTGCAAGAGGAAAAGCAAAACAAGCACCCTGTTTTGGTATATCACTATACAGATGAAATGGACATTGGGCGGAATATGTTCAGGGTTCCTCCTGTTTTCTCACTCAGCTGAAAAGGTTTTCCTACACTCAAAAGAGGCTCAATTACATTTACACAATTTACATTTTAGAGATTTAAAGATACAGTTAGCCCACTAGATAAGTAATCATTTTGTGCATTCTCAGTATGTGTGCCATCAATAAGAAATGCGCAGTTAATTGTCAGTGTTCACTCCATCTCCAGCACAGTTGGATTGATAGAGATGTCCAAATTAGCCACAGACAGGAGACTTTCATGATGAACACTGCCATTTAGCTCAGACTGGTCTGTGTAAACCCCTTTTTCAGAATTACGATGACTGGAATAGCAAGTGCATCCTAGTCACTGACCATAGGGCTTCAATCTAATCTGTACTTCTTCATATTCAAAATTCTCCTTAGCCACAGTGACCCAGCCACATTTGTCTTTGAAAACACTCTAGGTAAGGAGACACAAGGAGAAAATGTGCTTTATTTTAATCATTGTCTTAATCATGACTGGTTTACAGACTGATTTCTGGGTGGAATAAAAAGGAATGGCTGAGCACTGACAAGGTGCAAAATTAACTCTGCTTCACTACTTTGAAAAAAACAACATATGAATTCAACACAACTACAGGTATCAACCGATCTCCAGGGACTGCTCTGACCGACTTGTCTGTCAGCTGACACATGCTCCCAAAACAAAGGCAAAAAAAAAAAAACCTGAGCAAAAAATGCTGACAAAAATGACATTGGATTAATGGTAACAGTGGCCTCATATTGCACGCTGTGTTATTGAACACTGTGCCCTGCATATGAGGTATGATTACTTCTCTCCTACAGGCCATACAGAAAAGCAGCATGCCTACCCTTATAAAATAAAACGCCCGAGATAACCAACACCAGATTTTCCCTTGAGAGCTGTTCCACAAACCTCTTCATATTTCAAGGATTTGCACACAGAGAGATGTATTTCATTGGGAGGAGTGTGGTTTGAAAGTGTAAAAGGCATCCGCTGGGTTTTAAATGCCAAATGGTAAACTATCTACATGTACATGGAAAACAAAAAGTTAACGACAGAAGAAGTTGAAAAGACCGTTGCCCCATTATATAAACCATCACAAAATGCAAAGAGAAATAGAACCGAGCGAATCCAAGCCAAACACTGTCATTAAGATTTTGTGGAGGAAATTGTGTCTTATTCTGAGAAAAACACTTTGAAGACTGAAAGAACTAGCAGGAAACTGCAGTGCCTAAGAAAGAAAAACAATGGTGCAAAAATTAGACTAAATTTGCATAACTCAGAATACCTCACCTCTACGACCCGTTCTGTTGGGTCATCTTTCACTACTTTGACATGTATCTGAAGCAGGGAAAATGCCAAATATTTTGTCACTTGTTTTCCCAAAGTGTAATACACAGACTTCAGAAGCTCAAAGAAATCTCTGTCAAAATAATGATTTAAAAGTCTCTTTCCAAGTATCAAAAACCTGTCTTGAAAATTCTTGTGCCTTAATAATATTGACATAACTTGAACGTACATTGAAAACTACCAGTGTTTTCTGAGGTCAGAACAAATTTTGCTAAAGCCTCGCCTACAAACACACCCGCTTTACAAATACTATTTCAAGCACAGCATTTTTCAAAAATTTGAATAATTTTAATGTTTGAGAAATAAAACTTCAATATTAACAAAAAACTTACATGACCAGGTAGGGACTTGACTATTAGCACTGATGATGTTAGGGCTCTGTTTAAAGTTCTAGTGTGACTTAACTACCATTACAGCAGAACAGTGACATCCAAATCATCCTTGTACCGAGAAAAGTCAACTTTGAATAAATCAACAGACGAATGGCCAAACACATTATCTAATTGTGTACATCAAACATCTACAACTTAAAGACTGACAACGCTGAATCTGATATCTACATGGGTGGAAAAATAAGTACCCCCGATTTAGTGTCTTAGGATTCACCCGCCATTTCTTCTCTTCACAAAGGGGGATGCAGAACCAAATTTTCAATGGGTTAAAAATTGGGTAGGGGGGGTTAATAACAATGTTAGAATTTCCTAATTTAATCTTTATGAGCTTTCTTGGGTTTTTAGGTAAATTTGAGAATATTTGCACGCTTAATTTTAAGGAGAGAGCCAAATGAGAGGACCTCACAGTGTCCCTCGCATTACAGTTTTGAACAGCAAAACAATTGTTCCCTCCTCTACTTTTTTGGCCTTTTCTTCCCCCCCGCCCAAATGCCAATGGCCATATCAGGGGAGCCTGGAGGTTCAGGGTGAAGTTGACTTACCTCAGAGCTGGAACGCATGGCGAACAGGTTTGCCATCATGGTGGAGAAGCCCGGGGCCAGGCAGGTCTGAGCAATGAAGCCCAGCTTGAGAGCGGCGATGCAGATGACGTCATCGCCATAGGCCTGGTTCCAGCTGGGGATGTTCAGCAGATGGGTCTGGGAAAAAAAAGAGGGGGGGGGTAGGTACCACCAGAGAGGGATTAATGGTGAATGGCAGGTCGCTTTGTGCATGTGCCTGCAAAGTGCAATAAACTATGAATCTAATTGAATAGTGATGCATTAACAGCATGTCTAATGGCTTGCAAAGTGCTAGAACCTCCGTTTAATATGACACTAAAGAGCAACGCTCATTTTAAGCTATGGGAGAAAGATTGAGGGATAAAGGGAAACAGAGGAAACATCTAGTAAATGGACTGGAACATGACAACAATAATGTGAGGTGACTTTTCAGGATATTTAAATGGTCAACAACGCATTAGTTCTCTCACAAATGACTATGATTGTGTGATTCTTTCATTTGGTTTTATTTGTACGAAGTAAAACAGTATCAGAAAAAGTCTAAGATTTCAGAGTTGAAAATCTTGAAATCCAGAAACTCCTATGAAATCTCACTCCTTGAGAATGGAAGTAGAACCATGGGCATTTGAACTACATAAAAAGAAAAGTGACTTTTACAATGCCAAGAGCCACTATTTCATTTAATATTTATTGTTACACTTCCGAATTCAGTTGGAAAATTCAAGACAAGTGAACTAGCATATGAAGACTTTTTGCTAGTCAAGCTCTTGTCCAGAGCCTGAAATGAAGGCAAGAGATTCCTAAATATACCTTCTTAAGGCCTAAACTTAACCCTACATTTTTTAATGAAAAAGCACGTAAATAGGCTTCAGCCTGATAAGTAGCATTTCACCTTAAAAGAGTTTAGAATACAGAGTAGAAAAAAGGTTATCAAGGTAACTCTTAAACTTGGGTAAAAAGTAACAGGAAAAAAATAGGTATTCCCCTTCAAATGTGACTGAATCCCACAAAACGAGTGTTACTGCTCTTAAAGTTATGTTGCTGGCATTTGTAAGAGAAAAATGAGGATTTTTTGTTTAGATGAACCATTTGGTTTGGGAACCCGATGAATACAGACATTAAATGTTGAGGCTCCTGCTTGTGTTGGCGAGATTCTTCTGAAGACCTTTACACAACTCAGCCATGGCCCTAACAATTTGGTTGCCACTTATTTTGTAGGGTGGGGTCACTACTGTTTTCCACTCTCACCTTACTGTGGTCTTGGATGAGCTGCACGATGACCCTCATCTCTGGATTGAAGTTCTTGATGGAGATCACCCTCATGATCTGGCCGGAATCCTCCGTGTCAGGTCTTGGGCTGTACTTGTTGCACAGGATCAAACAGGCATCAGATTCATTCAGCTAGCAAAAAAAAAATTTTAAATTGCATGCCATTAAAGTACAAATCAGTGAACCTTCTCTTGTACCTCTTACATGGGCATCTATCACTTCTTAAATGTGGGAGGCCAATGTGTTTTATCTGGCAAAGGCCGGCACACCTGAGCACTTAAAATAGTGTGGGGGGGGGCATAGTGCTGTTCCTCCCCCTTCCCCCATCCTTTCATAAATAGACCCCACAGCACGGCAACATTGGTCCTTACCTTAACTCTTTGCAGGTCCGATGGGTTGAAGACCGAACCCTGGAAATATCTCATCTTGGTAAAGTGACGTCTAAAAAGTGCTTGCAACTCCAGATCAGGGTCCGTCCTGCACAGAAAAACAACAAAAATACCACAAACACATATAAAAATTAGAAGAAAATGCTAAAGTGAGAGTGATACTTGTACACTTGACAGATCAGCACCACACAGTAATGTAAGCATTGCTAGAAGACAATCCAAAGCAGCTCATGGCTAAACCAGATGAGAGGTCGAGTGGTAACGACATCTTACACTTGTAAGATGAAGATTACGGCTCGGAACTGCCTGCAGGATCTTTTTCAGGTACAACAGCACAAGATGAGATAAGTAACAGCCTAGCCTAAGACAGATATTGACGACAAACCATGACTAAAGTATATAGATGCAGAGGTATTCTGGGAGAAAACGACATTTTCAGAATGAGGACAGGAAAGAGATGAGAGAAGAATAGAAAACCGCATTCTGCATAACATGAACACTTCTGCTCAGACACAAGCTGTTAAAAGCATACATTTTTCTAGTCCCTTAGTGAACAGTGCTCAACTCAATCAATGCTGCCATTTTAGTAGAGGTACTTTTAAATATTACTAATGCTCACAGGACAATTGGACAGTGTAATGCACAGCTTACATGCTTCGCAGCAAAAACAATCACACTTGTGAAGTATAATATGAAGGGGGCAGTTAAGGAAATTCCTGAATGAACAATATCTGCAGACAGCATCATACAGACTAATATGGCGACCCGAATGAGAAGCCATATTACAGCAGTGGCACTACGCTCACAGGGCAGGTGATATGCACCTTGCATATAGCTCTTTAACCAATCAGGTATTGTGACCTGCTAACGCATACGGGCATTGAGGTAAAGAATGCCCCTATGGGTAAGGTGCCGTACCATCACAGTCATGTTGTCTCCTCAGATTTTATCCCCTCCCTTCCCAAATGAAATATTTAGCTTAACAGCGGATTTCCGGTTCACATTAAATGTCGTTCTTAGTTGCACTAAAAAAACATGGCTGACACAGGAGTCAAACCTGCCGTGTTGGACTGATACACAGATGCTCAACTATCAGGGCTAGTCAGCCCCATTTTTACCAGCCTCATAACTATGTCTTTTTCCTGCATGAAGGCAGTACTTGGCTAAAAACTTATTGAGTGTGTGCACACACTGTGTCAATCAAAATAGGTAAGGCCCAACAAAGACGGTGAGCTTTACTGGCATATGATACGGGCCCATGACACGGACAGCAATAAAGGATATTCCATGTCGTAACAACAAATAGAACAGAGTGGTTTCCTAGGAGAGTGTTTAATGACACTTGAAGTAGACAAACCACGTGGGGGCGATGAACCGCTTCATTTAGAAAAAAAGGAAACCAGAGTGATTTTTTCTAAGATATTGCACTGAGATAGTGTTTTCTGGCCAAACAGCAGTCTTGTTAGGTATGACCTATGCCACAGACTGACTAGCATGGTTGAGTGCTTCAAATCTCCCAGTGGATGGGGTGTTATTGTTGGGTGTCAGTATATATTGGTGGATGAAGCCGTTCCTGCCTTGAAGGTACATGTAAAACATCATTCTGCAATAAGTATACATGCCATCTTCTGTCATTGCCTTCACGTTTTGCTCATCTGTGTGGATGGGCACTAACATAACTACATGTCTCCTGTCTGTTCCTCATTAAATACAGCCCAAAGTGTGACACTGCTTTCCCAAATGGACAGCTTAATCAAGCAAAGTTGTTGTTCAGGATAAATGATACCCCACCTTTCTGACAACACGGCTGGCATCTTCAATAACGTGTCTTCTTGTTTCACATGAGTGAAACCATTTTTTTTTTTGGATATGCAGCCTATTTCCCCTAGGTCATTTGATAGGTAGGATATTTCCACTTTCTCCGTACGGGGGCAGCTTTATGACAACTGTAATTTTCGCTCAGCAAATAACATGATTGAGGTCCAGTAGAGCCTGTCAGAAGGTGTGTGACTAGCATTAAACCAGAATCCTGATAGCGTCCTCAGCTAGGAAACAGGGATGAGACGAGCAAACATAAATGCTGAACTAACAGTGTATTGGTGCTCATGTGACACGCAAAAGCTGCAACGTCTCAGATTGCTGGTTTAAGAGCTATTCACGCGCATCTAATTTCTTATCTTCTAATCATGTTTGTTAGCCCCGATGTTCATTAGCCCCGATGTTCAACCATGCTAAAATAAATGACACATTATGCATTTGTTCAGTTGATTTTAGCATGTAGTGGATGTAAGTGTGCATCAGACAGTTAAAAGTCAAATGACACTAAGGCTGGTTGAGGCTGCTTCAATATTTAATGCATAGAGTTCTTTGGGTGTGCGAA